TTTTACGAGGAGTGGAGAAATTAAATTTGGTAATTGACACGCTAGCCGAAGATTTACTAGCAATGTAGGCTGCCAATGACTCAGAAGTGGTGTCTGTCGAAAGTCGAGACACAAAAACTTGCCTACGAGGGGCAACAACAGTTAAGGTAGGAGCTGTTAGGGCTGCAGCTAATACAGGATTTGGTGGGGCCAAAGAAACACGATTATTTTACTTTAAAGGGTCTAATGGGACTACTACAGGGGATAAAACAGGGGTAACAATTCGGCAGTCGCTCGGAGACGGCAATAATGACAACATTGGAGATAAGCCCTAGTTGCTAGGAATTGACAAAATAGGCGATCGTGTATGGACAGAGGGAGAGGGTAACTGCGAAAATTGAGGCTCTAATCGGCGATTGGGTGGAGACTCGAATTTGTATTTGCTAAGCAGCTCCTAGCTCGAGTCAAAATTAATCGAGTACTGCGTAACCACGTTATTCAGTTTTAAGAATTGATTTCTGACAGAACTATACATTCTGGAGAAATCAATTTGCCTATCCATTCATTCTGGGCACGACCAACGCAAGCCGCCGCAGCCCTTCTTGGCAATTGCAGCGATCTTGTCGCAATCACGCCCAGTGAGACCTGCACATTTAGCATCCATCATATTCTCACATAGCCAGCAATTAACAAATTGCGGCAGTGCAGAATCATTAGCCTGCTTGAACGTACAAGGTTTCGTACAGCACGACATAATTACTACCAGCGTTATAAGATAAGCAGAAGTTGCGAGAGCGCAGAGCGAAACGAAACAAAGTGCAGAGAAATAGAGCAAGTAAACGCTAAAAAAATAACTATTCGTACTTAAACAAATTGCTTGGAGGGAAAAGCAATATCCAGAAATATGCAGCAGCGAAAACGCGCAGAAACAAGTTCCGTTTCCCACATTTTTTCAGAATTCTTTTTGGCTATGACAATATGCTCAATCAAAGATTGGACAACGATTGCATATAAAATCTTTTAAGCCACCTGCCCGGACCACAGGCTATTTTCTGGCAGATATGAACTGTAAATTTATTTAATAAAATTGTATGCAAAAAATAACAAGTAAGAGGTTCTAGTCGGGAGCTCCCGACTAGGGGATACCCTGAACCCTCTTATTCCAACACCAAATAAATTCATAAAAAAAAAGTTCCCTTGGCAGGGCTCGAATTTGCAACTGATCGCATTACTTACTGTCGACTCTACTCAACAGCCACACCAGCAAAAAAAAAAATAATACTTTCCCCGGTAGGGCTCGAACTCGCGACAGACCGCACCACTTGCTATGCCTCTACTCAACAGCCACACCAACAATTAAGTACTTATGATAAAAAAAGGAACTAAAATAACATTACAAAAAAAAAGATGCAATTACCAATTATTAGAATGCGAAGCAGACGCGCATGAATGTGTGTGTGAACATGTATACAGAAATTCTTAAAGCTGCTTCCCCATTCAATTGAGCAGTTGCATATAACTTTGGTTTTTCTTAACCGATCTTTATGAAATTTTCTACAGTATATCTTATTGTACCATAGAATATTTGTGTATTCTGAAAAAATCAATTGCATTTAAATTGTAGTTTAAATTGGTTGGCAATAAAAGTTGGGTTATTAACTTGATTTATAGCTCTGGGGTGGTAGCGGGGAGGTGGCGATAGGTATGAAATGAAAGATAATATTCTAGAAGCAACATATCATGTTTGGTGGCTCTAGCTCTTAGTATTTACCCAATTTGCTAAAAAAAAAACAGGATGTCGATATCGATTTTTATCGATTGCTTGGAAACGGACTAAGTTATCGATTACCGGAAACAAACTCGATCTGCGCGGGAACTAGGACCATCTATATCTAAAATTTCAAGTCTCTAGCTCTTATAGGTTCTGAGATCCTTTGGCTCATACATACGGACGGACGGACAGACAGACGGACATGGCTAGATCGACTCGGCTGTTGATGCTGATCAAGAATATATATACTTCATGGGGTCGGAGATGCTTCCTTCTGCCTGTTACATACATTTGGATTTTGCACAAATACAATATACCCTTATACCCATTTTTAATGGGTTTCGGATTCTTGGGATTTTCGAACTTTTTCGTATTTCTTTGATATTTAATGGCTGACCGTCCATCCGTGGAAGCAACAGGTGAGGCTTTAGGATCCTTCCCGCGGTCCAAACAGCTGACTGTCAACGGACAGACCTTACAAAAATAAACGACTATTGTAATTTTGAGTCTCGATTTCACACGCAATCCCTATTTCCAAATTGGGCACCATTTGTTATGAACCGATTTGTCGTTCACATTCCTTTTATAGACTTGCCGGTTAGACATAGATCAACCAGGGGTGAGTAAGACCTCGATAAATGAAAGAGTTGGTTAGCAAATTAATTTATAGTTAAATTGGACTAACGAATTTCGGTTACTTTTCGAACACTCCGTCGGACAACATGAAAACATGCACACGGTGGACAGCTGTTAAGGTCCACCTTAACGGAGCCCTTCCCACGATGAGTTGGTCATATATGCACTTACCAACTCCCAAATCCTGACGGGCACCCGCCTTACACCCATGGTGAGAACCCACCATAACTCCTTGCTCGAGCATTTCACTATTGCTCATACAAAGACATTTAATAAATTAACACATAATATATTTCACAATTTTCATATTAATTTTTATTTGTAGGGTAGACGCGAAAACGGCTTGACGACACTAACATCTGGGACGAATAAATTAATTTAAATTTACCATAAATGACAATTATGATTAATAAATTACAACATTTCGTCGCCGCCTGCGTTTCTGTGGCCTCTACTTATAAATAATAATATAAATACTAATAATAATAAATAATATGGATAGTTAGAATAACAAAAATAAAATTAATATAAAATTATGCTTCTTTCATATTATGTTATTGTTTTTACCTCCCGTATTGTGGGACTTCAGATTTGGCCAGATCATTAACTTTAATTGAAGATATATATATAATTAAGTTTTTCGCGTTCGCTTAATGTAAAAAAATATATTTCAATTTATTATTTTCACTGAAGGTTACTTTTGTTAAGTACAATCCGCTTTGGTTACCGAATCTGAACTAATTTATCTAACCATTGCCGTCGCTTAGCAAACTTCGCTCGGCTCATAATTGAGTGAAGTTTGAGCTGCGTCAGCAATTATGCGTGGGATAATGCTATGGTGAGAACATTGATAGTGGCGCGATTTTAGGGTGAATTGTTTATGTCTACAAAAGGGGGACAGCTTGATCTTGCCCAATGTCAATGCTATCACCAGGCTCTTTGTTTACAAGAATTGGAAATGTTTATACTTATGCTTATGAGCTAAGTTATATTAAAGGGTGGGTGCGACTATGGATATGTCACTATATATATATTTTTGCATATTTTGTTCACTTTAATTAAATTTATATATATTTTTTAAATTACCAGAAATTCTATTATTTAAGATTTTTTTATGCGGCCGGCTTTCACTTGACTCCGGATCTTTTCTTACTTTTTTTATTTTTTATTTTTCTTCCCATTAACAAAAACCACTCTCCCTTTCAAAAATCTCCAGAGTCACGCGAAGGAACTGGTGGCTCCGATAGTTGCGTACCCGAATCTATCGATAACTATCCTCCAGCTGGCAATCCCAAAAGCAGCATAGTATTGGTGCACTATTTATTTTCTTAATGTTATTGCTGCCCGTAACATAAAGGCTATTTAAAGAGTGCCGAAATCGCGGCAGAACGATTACCGAGTGTCGTGTAGGAATGATCGTTAGTGTCATACCAACAACTATCACTGTTAAATGAAAATGGCAGTGATAAATTATAATAACCGGGACTTCTGTATTGAGCTGACACACTTAAACAAGTAAAAGCTTCTAGTCGGGAGCTCCCGACTAGGGGATACCCCTACCCCTCTTCTATATGTCAAGTTTGGTGACTCTGGCACTTATAATTTACCAAAATTGCGCAAAAAACAGGATATCGATATAGATTTTTATCGATTGCTTGGACAATGAGTATGTTATCGATTATCGGAAATACACACGATCTATGCAGGCACTAGGAGCACCCACACCTAAATTTCAAGTCTCCAGCTCTTATAGGTTCTGAGATCCTTGCGTTCATACATACGGACGGACGGACTGACGGACAGACAGACAGACGCACATGGCTAGATCGACTCGGCTATTGATGCTGATATATACTCTATGGGCTCGGAGATGCTTCCTTCTGCCTGTTACATACATTTAAATTTTCACATGTACAATATACCCTTATACCCATTTTTAATGGGTTAAGAGTATAAAAATATGTCCATAGAAGTAAACCAATCTCGTGCCTCAAAAATGCCACCCACAATTATCGATCAATTTTGTATTTGCTTTTGAAAGAGGTGACTTTCTTTGAACTCAACTTTGGTTTACAATAAATATTTTCTCAAAGACACCTTCACGAAAAGAAGTTAATAAACTATGTGCAAAATGATAGATAAGCTTTTGTATGAGCATTTATCTATGCCTATATTACATTTGGCACATCATTCATAAACTTCTTAAATATCTAAAAATTTCAAATTTTCAAATTTTTACCTTGAACCCAATTAAACGATTAATTCGAAATGTAATTTTTAAAAAGTATACTCTGATCAATTATATTATAGCTAACGGCATTGAAAAGTACAATAGCATCTAGACATTATCTAGATCGGTTAAGACGCACAGAAGATATAAAGTGTTTGGTAACATTGAAGTTTTGACAGTATCCTGAAAGTGCAATAATATACATATGTGTACCTTTGCATATAAACATAATTGCGTTTGCCAGAGCTTTTTCTTTATTGCCTAATGACATAAGTTATCTTTTCCTTTTGAAAATGGTAACAACAGGAACTAGTTACTTTTAAATACTAGATACTTTTAAATACTAGTTACTGTTAGTGGCTTGAGTATATATTTCTCATCTCTATTAATAAAAGATATTGAATTGTGAGCTAGGGACAAATATTCTGACATAGGTAATGTAGACTGCCACACTCAAAAAGTCCACTTAATAAAGGTGGTAACTTACAACACAAAATAATATACTTACATTTTATGTGCAGGGGCAGTAATATGACTGAAATCTGTGAGCCCTTGAACTTGGCAAGGGGTGAGGCACATATCCTCACATTAGAGTCTTATAAATCAATTATCTTTACAGATGTAAAAAGGTCAATAGAATTATTAGAAAAGCTTCAGGCTAGCGGAGATTTTCCAACCACAAAATTGGCCGCATTACAAAAAGTTCTAAATTCTGATTTTTTGAACTCTGTGCGTGAAGTCTATGAACACGTTTACGAAACAGTTGATATACAAGGCTCACACGATGTTCGGGCGTCTGCAACAGCTAAAGCAACTGTGGCTGCTTTTGCTGCCAGTGAAGGCCATGCACATCCAAGAGTTGTAGAATTGCCAAAAACAGAGGAAGGTATGTATGTATGTATTATACTCACCCAGCTAGTTTTCCGTTGGATGTAATGTGTAAACATATGTATCAATTTGTGTAAGTCGTAATAAGTGCTTAAGAATAGGAGACGGTATATTGATTGCGATTTCGCAGAATCGAAGCGAGTTGTCAACAATTTCAAATAAACTAGATATACGGTGACCCAAGTTACAATTATGAAATTTACTTCTAAGAGTCTGTAGAACTAAAGTTCGAGCAAGAATAAATGTCGTTAGATAAAACAAAATGGTTTAGAAAATAAAGAAATAAAGAAGACAGTAAAATTTGGGTTATCAGGTTAGCACACACTACTCTTGTTAAACTTTCAAGCCATGAACCTATTTCAAAACCTTAATATTTAATAACTTATAGGTTTTTCAACAAATTGGTCATACTCAATTTTCCCTTATTGAGTATGAGCTCATAAATTCGATTTTGAATCGATTTGTACAAATATTGAATAAAGTCCATAAACTTACATTTTAAAAATCACCGAAAATGTTTTAAAAATGGGAAAAAGCTAAGATCCTTTGCTTTCCTACATACGGACAGAAAGGCAGACGAACATGGCTAGACCGGCTTGGCTATTGATGCTGATCAAGAACATATACTCTTTATGGGGTCGGAGATGCTTCCTTTTGCCTGTTATTAACATTTTTACAAAAAGATTTTACCATTGTCAATGGATTCAGGATATAACAAGTAAGAGTTTCTAGTTAGGAGCTCGAGCTACGTGCTCGTTTGTAGTAATAAAGATAAATTAAAAAAACAAAGGTCCCTTGGCATGGTTCGAACTCGCAACTGACCGTATTACTTTCTGACTCTAATCAACAGCCACACCAGCTAAAACAAAAAATAGTTTCCCCGGTAGGTTTCAACAGCCACGCCAATAATAAAGTATTATTGAGAAGAAAAAAAAACAATTAAAATAGCAGCATAGAAAACAGTCGCAATTACAATGCTGTTAGAATGCGGAGCAGACGCGCATGAATGTGTATGTGTCAATGTATACAGAAGTTCTTGAAGTTTTCGTAGTTTTGAAGTTTTTAAGCAGCCCCATCCAATTGCGCAGTATAACTTTGGTTTTTTCTTCACCGATCTTAATGAAATTTTCTACAGTATATCTTATTGTACCATAGAATTTTTGTGTATTCTCAAAAAGTCGGCTATTGATGCTGATCAAAAATATATATATTCTAAATGGGGTCGGGATGCTTCCTTCTGCCTGTTATATAAATTTACATTTTGCACAAATACACTATACACTTTTTACCCATTTTTAATTGGTTCAAGGTATAAAAAGTGGTTCTTGTCAGGGTTCGAACTCGCAACTAACTGCACTACTTGCCGCCATTTTTACTCAACAGCCACACCACCCAAAAAAAAAAAGTAATAATAATTTCTTCGGTAGGGCTCGAACTGGCGACAGACCACACCACTTTCCACCGCCTCTACTCAACAACCACACAAATCATTTAGTCATAATGAGAAAAAAAAAAACGAATTAGAATAGCAGCACAGAAAACAATACAGTCGCAATTGCAATGCTGTTGATAGAATTACAAGCAGACGCGCATAAATGTGTGTGTGTACATGTATACAGAAATTCTTGTAATTTGCGCTAGCTGCCGAAAAAACGTGGGCAGTCAAACCACATAATTTCTGTGTGTTTCTTAACCGATCTTTATGAAATTTTCTATAGTATATCTTATTGTACCATAGAATATTTGTGTACTCTCAAAACGTAAATTTCATTAAAATTGTAGCTTAATTTGGTGGGCAATACAAGTTGGGCTATCAACATGATTTATAGGTAGGTGGTAGTAGCGGGGAGTTGGGCTAGGTATAAAATGAAATATTCATGTTATATATGTACTAATCTAGAAGCAACATATGAAGATTAGTGACTATAGCTTTCAATATTGACCCAAATTGCTCAACAAACGAGAGGTCGATCTGCGCATGGACTGGAAGGACAATATGCCCGTATCTTATGACCTGCTAGTGTTTGTTAAAGGTCGTATAATAAACAATTTATTATAAGCAATATTTAAAATAATTTCAATTATAAATTATATAGGCATAGTTTATATCCGACTTGCATTTCTTTCAGGTTTGGGCTTCAATGTCATGGGAGGCAAAGAGCAGAATTCTCCCATTTATATATCGCGAATAATACCAGGTGGTGTTGCAGATAGACATGGAGGGCTAAAAAGAGGAGATCAGCTACTTTCAGTAAATGGAGTGGTAAGCTAACACTATGTCATAGCGTGTGGTGGTTTTGTGAAAAATCCCACAGAACAGTTGCATACAACGGATTGATACTCTCTTTTAAAGATCTTTGTGAAAATCCATTAAATGGCTTACACTTATCGAAAATTCTGATTGAAGTAGAGGTCAAAGATCTAATGGGTAAAGTTTTGGGTTGAAACTTATTTCCAACATAGTGCAAATTCAGTAAAGACTTGTTTCACACCTCTCGTATAATTCCACAACTCTGGTATGTAAAATCAAAATCAACATTTTTTTGTCTGATCTTTTTATATGAATGAATGCGTGTTTTAGCGATTTTGTAATTTACAAGCGACAACTGTAGTGAATTACGGGACAACAGTTGTAAGCATCCTTTTGCTTACTATCCGACCATTTTGGAACTCTTTTTTAAACATCTTTGTGAAAATTTCTTCGACACATGATTCATAATTTTCTCAGAAACAAAGCGAGTTGTTGGGAAATGCGAGACAACATTTTTAGTTCTTAATGCGATAGTCTTCAAATTCATTTTCAAACATCTGTGAAAAATATATCTAGATGTGGAGTTCAAGGTGGTTCGGTTAGATTTATATTTCCAAACTTAAACGCAATAAAATTTCTCGACCTCGGGAAGCACTTATGTATATATGTATTAAAAAGGGCATTAAATTTTAAAATTAGTTTTAACATCCGAGCTATGCTTGATAAAACCGATTCTGGAAGTTTATTCACTGAAATGGAAACAGTACTTATTGCTCTGTCTTCTACTCCAAAACTGTAAAATGTGAGTTGGGGAATATCCGAAAAATAATAAAAATTAACATTAGTAAATCATGACCAAAAATTACATCCATTAATTCGTAAGTGTTTAAATTTAAAAGTGTGTATGAACTGTAAATATATTCATCAGATTTCAGGGAGCGGATATCGGTCAAAACGGCTATGAGAATCTCGAGTAATAGCTATATTTATAATCCACAAATAAATTAGGGTAAGATTATAGTATTTTTGTTTCTTTTCAGTCGGTTGAAGGGGAAAATCATGAAAAAGCAGTTGAATTATTAAAGCAAGCGGTTGGTTCCGTAAAGCTTGTGGTACGTTACACACCCAAGGTTCTTGAAGAAATGGAAATGCGGTTTGATAAACAACGTAATACACGTCGTCGTCAATAGAGCTAACAAAAATGTATCTTACAATTGCAACAAACATTTTAACATGCTTTATAAATTACATAATGCGCTCTTTAATGCAGTTACAAGGGTTGCTGCCTTATATAAAAAAAAAATTTAAAAAGCTAGTGTGAACTCGACCATATATTATAAATTTGTTTTAACTAAAGGGTTAAAATTACATATGGATATATTCAACTTTCTAGCTTATGTCCGCTGAACGATAATCAACTTTATTGCCAGAATTACAACATATTTACATTAATTTTTTTTTTTTAATAAAACTCGACCAAATATTATAAATTGGTTTTAACTAAAGGGTTAATATTACATATGGATGTATCATACTTTCTAGCTTATATCCGCTGAACGATCAACTTAATTTTATATATTTACTTGTTTGCCAGAATTACAACATTTTTACCTTAAATTTGATTTGTAAGATGAACGAGTCTACTGTTAGTCTTTAATTGATACCCAAGTTTTATCCCAATTTTAATGTGGCTAAAACTAATGGTAGTCAACAAATAAGATAAATAATGAAAATTTTAAAACTTTTCAAATGTCTGTTGATTCCGATAATAAATAGCTTAAAAAAATTAAATATGTTAACCTCTTATTCAATTTATTAAGCGGCAACCCACCCTCGTATTGTATAATTTAGTATCTCAAATATCAAGTTGCTTATGTGCTATATTAATAATATGATTTTAAGAATGCAATAATTAACATACCCAAAAGCATAAAAAATAAACATATTTCTTGTACACAATTGAACACAATTATTGAATCTAATTTATTGGTTTAGTTAGGTGTTTTAATTATTATTTTTATTTTGCGTAATAAAAAAATTGTACATTTTTGTATTGAGAATGTAATGTCGACTTAATAGGATAACTTAAGAATAAAAGGTTTAGGCAAAAAACTGAATTTAAACAAGAGGTTCTAGTCGGGGGCTCCGGACTAGGAGATACCCTGAACCAAAGACAATATAAACACTAAGATGAGTAACGCCATACAACAAAATGATACGATGTAGCTTGACTTTTTGAAAATTTAGAACGCAGACGAAATCTGTTTTACTGCGCTCTCACAGCCGAGAGAGCGAATAAGCTAAAAGTAGAATGTACTCTCAGCTTCTGCTCTATGAGGGCATACATAACAGCATATTTGAATGTGCTGCTAAAATCTCTGGCTGGCAAAGAAATAAATTTTCTTGGTTTCTAGCGCTGATCATGACCTACCCCAAATTTTTATTCACATACATATGTCGGCTATTTTTACTGAGGTTGGCTCCGTAAAAAATATGTATTTTTAAGTCGATGCAAACATTTATATAATTTCTTTATATTAAATTAATATCATTTTTATTTTCCAATTAAGAAATAAAAAGTGCTAAACAAAAAAAAATCAAATATTAATTTGTATAAATAAATATGAATTTGGATTTAATATTTAGTTAGCGGCGACTTTGTACATTATAATTCGAATAAAAAATAATTAAATAAAAAAAATAAATAAATAAAATTTATCTTTAAGACAACAAATTTTCACTTTTATTTCTTAATTTAATTTTTATTACTTAAAAATAATAATAATTTAATTTAAAGAAGTTATATAAATATTTGTTTCAACTCAAAAGTACATATTTTCTACGGAGCCAACCTCAGTACATGACATGCATTAATATTTGAATAATTAAGTTGCCAGCTAAAGACAGAGCCGTGAATAACAACACATATATACATATTTTGAGACAAAAATTTCTCTTGAGCATGCACTGTCCAAAAACAAAAGTAAAAACAATCTATGTGTGCTATTTTCTTAACATAGTTATTGCACAAGATGCGCCTGGTGTACAAATTATTTAGTTCTTAAATTTGCCTATAAAATTTATCGTTAGAATCTAGGGTAATATATCATTTAAATAAACCATGCATTTCATGGATAAGACAAAGATACTTTGCGTCGATCGTAAGTTCAAAACTTTTTCGCTCAATGTACTTCGAAAACGAAGCGACGCATAGATCATCGACCAGCTTTGCTGAAGGCAGGCTGGCGACTAAATTTGTTGCTCGAGTCAGTATCAGCAAGCCACGACTTCGGCATTCGTCGTCTGGTTTTTGGAGAACGAACAGACAGGCAGGCATGTCGTGCGAAGCCTCAAAGGCCGGGCTTTACTCATCTTATTGTTTATATTGTCTTTGCCTGAACCCTCTTATTCCAACACCAAATGCAGCTGGTTTATAGAAAGAAAGATAAATTAAAAAAAGGAAGTTCCCTTGGCAGGGTTTAAACTTGCAACTGACAGCATTACTTGCTGCTGAATCTACTCAACAGCCTCGGTAGGGTTCGAACTCGCAACAAACAGCACTACTTGCCGGCGCCTCTACTCAACAGCCACACCAATAGAGTCTTGATGAGAAAAAAACAAATTGAAATAGCAGCACAGAAAACAATACAATCGCAATTGCAATGCTGTTGATAGAATTCCAAGCAGGCTCGCATGATTAGGTGTGTGTACATGCATGCAGAAATTCTTGGAATTTGCGCTTGCTGCCTCAAACTCAAGGCCTGCAGACATGTTTTATTCAATAACTTCTGTGTTTCTTAACCAATCTTGATGAAATTTTCTACATCTTATTGAACTACTGAATATTCGTGTATACTTTAGAAATACAAAAGTCAATTGCATTTAAATGGTGGCTAATATTGGTGGGCAGGGTAAATTTGTGTATTTACTTGATTTATAGATTAGGGTGGTAGCGGGGAGGTGGCGATTGGTATGAAATGAAAGATACTTGATATATATAATATTTTAGAAGCAACATATAATGTATAGTGACTCCAGTTCTTAATATTAACCCAATTTGCTCAAATAACAAGATTTCGATATCGATTGTATCGATTAATTGGAAACGGAGTAAGTTATTGATTATCGGAAACAAATTCGTGCTACGCATGGATTGGGAGGACCTACAGCTAAAATTTTCCTAGCTCATATACGTTCTGAAATCCTTGAATTCATACATACGGACAGACGGACATGGCTAGATAGCCTCGGCTGTTGATGCTGATAATCTTGATCTACTTTATGGGGTCGCAGATGATTCTGCCTGTTACATTTGCCCAAATACATTATACCCTTTTTACGCATTTTCAATAGGATCTGGGTATAAAAATAGCCAAAACTTGTACATTAACTTGCATCTGCTAAAAATTGTTGGCATTAGCTTAACATAATCTATTGGTTCCATTTAAGCATACATTAATAATGTATAAATGTACAAAATATGATTAAACATCCCAGCCATCTTGAAAGGAGCTCTTTCAAGAGATAGGTAAGACAGTCAGCTACGAAGTGGCCGTTAACGGAGTCCGGCGGTATGACAACCATTGATACATCCGTGGGAGTAGTGATCTTGTTGTTGGTGAGAATTTCACATTCAGGCAAAGAGCGCGGATTATTGGGATCAGATGAAAGTGGTGTGAACGGACGAGAAGGTATATTAAAGAGCTTAGAAATTTAAAATTGCTTTTATCGTCCCTGTGCTTGAAATAGTTATGTTGGCGAAGTTCTGCTGAGGATGTATGTTATGTAACATTTGCCATAGCTCGGAGTGACCAATTGTACGAACTATTTCCGTTAAGCCAGTCAAGAATATAGGTATTTTCGATGATTGCAGTAAATATAGGTTTCCGTTTCTCAGCATCGATAGTATCCCTTTTCATATCATTGTCGGGTTCTTGGCAGAGCTATTGTGCCACGGTATTAATTCACGCTGAATAATGGAAAATCAGTTTTCAACAGTGTAATAGAATGCTGTTGCAGCCAGTACAAAATAATCTACGAATCTGACCAAAAATTAGCTCTGTGTTATTTACTGTTATTTGGTTTTGATGGTGTTAAATATAAATTTCTCAGAAATTGAGGTAGGCTCTACTCAAATCAGATTATTGAAATTAAACGATGTTTTCTAAATGTAGAGTTACTTCAAATGGTGACAAACGAGATTTCATATTAGTATTGTAGAGCTGTCGTGGAATCCCCTATGCAGAAGTCAACGATGAGGACACTTGCACATTTTCAGACGCTTCCATTAGTTGACAAAAGTGCAGCAACGTGTGATGGCGATGCTTGCAATTTTCACAACAGTTTTAGGGGTAGACTGAGCCATGTCCTGATTGCAATAAATTAATGCAGAGTACAGCATATTTGTCGCCTTCCTCATTAAATTTGGGACTCATGTTGAAACTGAGAACATCGTACAATGTCATGGCAGGAGCTGTAACAAACAATGCATGTGGAATTTATGATAAATGACTACCCGGGTCAATAATTATTAGAATAAAATAGCGAGAGCGCATAGCCAACGAAAAACAGTGCACAGAAATAGGTCAAACAAAATATAATCGTACACAAACAACACAAGCAGATAATGTACCAACAATGTGAGTTAATCCGAATAGACGCTAACAGCTCGCGACTGGTGCTGATTTTGATAAATGCAATAATTTATAAACAAACACTACACAACAGGTGGAACATTGCATATCAAAGTTTTCAAGCACAAGTCTTAAGCATAATCAAAAAGTGATTTTCACCGGAGCACAAATCTCAGCCTTCCATGTCCAAATATATTTGTAGTTTACCGAGACGCAAAGAAAGAGGAGGGGGAAAATTAGGGTTAGTTGGCACCTGCCAGAGTTGCTTAGCGTCACGGGACTCATAATTAATGATAATGTGGTTAGTATTAATTAGACCGTCTACTACAGACAATATAAACTTGGAAAGAGAAAACCTCAGACTCAGACCGGACACTGGTTAGCTTGTGTTCGAGGCACTGCCTCAGATTATGCTCACTAGGGTATCAAAGGGAATTGCTCCATGTGCAATTTAGGATATTAAATCCTTATACTTAGAGAGGATGTCGCTGGGACTTGCTCTGTGGGCGATAAGGATTGGGAACTATTATTCCTACTGGGTCTCTCTTATTGAAATATGGGGAAAATATATATATTTTCTTATACATGTTGTCGCCTAGCGTCACAAAAAAGTTAGGAGCACAAGTAAAACTCGCTTATCACTGTTCAGCTTAAAACTTTCTCTTTCCTTATGAGACCCTATAAGTATTAGAAAAAGGAGGCTTGGTAACAGATATAATTTGGTTGTTAAACAGTGTTATTAAAAGCCAATAGTCTCAAATCGTGTATAATTGTAGCAATTTTTGTTTATCAATTTCTTTTAAAGAGTTAAAATAATGTTAATCGTTGGTTAGTCTAGTAGGAACAAAGACGTTTAATACGCTCATCGACCCAGATATGTAGACCATATACAGTTTTAGAAAAAATCATAGAGGGAATAATATTCAGAGTCTATTGGAGTATGACGGTAACTGCACAAGATGATCCCAATTGAAGACCTGAAGGGCAAACACCAAGAATTGTTTCTGTACAGATTCCATGATGCCTTGATGAATGGAATATTGTGGCTACCAGACATGAAGCATACACATAGAATAGGTCGTACAAGAGATATAAATTTCTCGCCTTGTAGACCACGGTTGAAGAATAAAACTCGAATTAAAGTCTATGATCCAGAATAGCACCTTTATCATTTATAAAGAATCCATTTGGGAAGAGTATCTATAGAAAGTCATTACCTTACATTTGGAAGAGTTAGTAATCGAGAATGAAACAGTCACGTCAATGTCTTCTGGCAGAAATGCAGGTGCCAGAATAACATCGTGCTTTGGGATGTAATAACCTCTTCT